TATGCTACGGCAAATTCAGTTTAAACCAGCTCAGTTTGATGTTACAAATACGCTAAAAGTCAACATACCGTCCATTGGGTGCGTGGTCAATTTGAGAAGCGCACCCACCGTGATAAGGTTGGCCAAGAGAGCCACTTGATTTGATAAAATCGCCCAATCTGGGTCCGTATCTCATTCGCTCTTTCAGTTCTGCCACACGATCCGGCTTTAAACCATCATTACAACCGGTAGTTAAGTGCTTATTCAGCGGAAATCCAAGCACGAGGCATGCTGAGGGTACTCTGAAAAGCGCCTCCCTTGCCAGCAACTGAGATCGCCTCCACATTAAAAAAGCCTGCAAATCAATCGGGGTTGACCATTCACTTTGACTGCAATTTCAAAGCATTCAGTGTAGAAAGCAATGTACGTCAACATTACTGTGATCGAAGAGCCCCTTATTTTATATGCTAAACCTTGGTTGTTGCTTCGCGCTAGAAGGAAATTCTTCTAGAGTATTTCATGCATTTAATCTCGAAAAATTCATGTGCATTTGTAGGAGTTCTAAATATTTGCACCTTTCTAAAACAACAAACTTTCAACAATTCTCAAGCATTTTGCATTAATGATAGGGAAGATATCGAAATTCTGTGCACAATTAAAATAAAAAACACTGAAACAGAAAATGCAAGGGTATGCAAAATTTTATTTAAAACGGTCACACTGAAAGGCATTTTAAAAACGCCAAAGAACAAGGTTAAGAAATTTGGTTTTCCTTCTCCTGGTCACTTTTAATTTTCATGGAACGGAACATGCTACTCAGTTGAGCCATTGCGTCTTTGTGAGTGGAGGATGCACCACGTACCTCCCTATAGTGTACTTTCACAAAGTCGGCGAACACGGGTCGAGAACGGGAGCCCACTCCCGTGGCTTTCGCCTCGTTCCCGCCCGCTGAAGCGATGGGTGCTATTTCGCCACTTTTGTTGACAAAAAGCTGGAATTGAGATTGACAGCGACCACATACCTGAAGTTGTCACATCAGAGTAGCTTTTACTTTTTTGCAGCATCAACGAGCTCCTAAATATGTCTATGAATTATTTCCATAACGGTTGCTAGCATAATCTTAAAATTATATTGCCAACTATTAGCCTTGCTGAATAAAAGCAAAAACGGTTAGCAGAAGCAAAGCCGGTGCTTGTGAAATAGCGAATTTTAGAGAGATGGTTTTTGTAATCTTTGCAATGAATGTGCTTCGAGTCCGATTCATAAGCTGAACTATTACAGGTGACACAAGAGCGCTTTATTTGTAACATGAGGTGGGATCCAGTTCACTTTTACCTATTATGGCTAGCATACTACAGTTCTTATGTCCAGAAAAATCAGAGACCGTTAATTATAAATTCATGCAAACCGACAGAATAAGTTACTAGAAATACAAAGATCGATCTATGTGAAAGTTGGGGCTAAAGGTGCTCTTAGAAGCCTAGTGGAAAATACTAAACTGTCTCCAACATGTCCATAGAATTAGGAAACTGTAGCAGAAGGTAATGTGGGAATTCATGCACACGGAGAGACGGACATACAGACAGACCTTCTTTTGGATATCAAGAGACTTGGAGTGTCGGTTGATGGTGGCAAAGCATCCGGTGCAACGGTATGTGAAGCGGGTATCGATGGCGTAGGTGTGACGCACAGTGACAGGCGGTAGATGAGGGAAGGTAGAGTTGGCTCTGCGCACGAAAGCCCGCCAGAGGCGTCCATGGCCATCGTTGACGCCATGCACCAGCCACACCGCGGCGTGGCAAGCCTCGTGCAGCAAGGTATCGCGCACTCGTTCAGCCGACGTGCACACCTTGCCCGAGAGCTCGATCCGCACCTCACGTCTCTACAACAGCACACCACTACCACACTAGTATGGGAAAAACCAGGCTCATCAGCCCAATAATATGCTACGGCAAATTCAGTTTAAACCAGCTCAGTTTGATGTTACAAATACGCTAAAAGTCAACATACCGTCCATTGGGTGCGTGGTCAATTTGAGAAGCGCACCCACCGTGATAAGGTTGGCCAAGAGAGCCACTTGATTTGATAAAATCGCCCAATCTGGGTCCGTATCTCATTCGCTCTTTCAGTTCTGCCACACGATCCGGCTTTAAACCATCATTACAACCGGTAGTTAAGTGCTTATTCAGCGGAAATCCAAGCACGAGGCATGCTGAGGGTACTCTGAAAAGCGCCTCCCTTGCCAGCAACTGAGATCGCCTCCACATTAAAAAAGCCTGCAAATCAATCGGGGTTGACCATTCACTTTGACTGCAATTTCAAAGCATTCAGTGTAGAAAGCAATGTACGTCAACATTACTGTGATCGAAGAGCCCCTTATTTTATATGCTAAACCTTGGTTGTTGCTTCGCGCTAGAAGGAAATTCTTCTAGAGTATTTCATGCATTTAATCTCGAAAAATTCATGTGCATTTGTAGGAGTTCTAAATATTTGCACCTTTCTAAAACAACAAACTTTCAACAATTCTCAAGCATTTTGCATTAATGATAGGGAAGATATCGAAATTCTGTGCACAATTAAAATAAAAAACACTGAAACAGAAAATGCAAGGGTATGCAAAATTTTATTTAAAACGGTCACACTGAAAGGCATTTTAAAAACGCCAAAGAACAAGGTTAAGAAATTTGGTTTTCCTTCTCCTGGTCACTTTTAATTTTCATGGAACGGAACATGCTACTCAGTTGAGCCATTGCGTCTTTGTGAGTGGAGGATGCACCACGTACCTCCCTATAGTGTACTTTCACAAAGTCGGCGAACACGGGTCGAGAACGGGAGCCCACTCCCGTGGCTTTCGCCTCGTTCCCGCCCGCTGAAGCGATGGGTGCTATTTCGCCACTTTTGTTGACAAAAAGCTGGAATTGAGATTGACAGCGACCACATACCTGAAGTTGTCACATCAGAGTAGCTTTTACTTTTTTGCAGCATCAACGAGCTCCTAAATATGTCTATGAATTATTTCCATAACGGTTGCTAGCATAATCTTAAAATTATATTGCCAACTATTAGCCTTGCTGAATAAAAGCAAAAACGGTTAGCAGAAGCAAAGCCGGTGCTTGTGAAATAGCGAATTTTAGAGAGATGGTTTTTGTAATCTTTGCAATGAATGTGCTTCGAGTCCGATTCATAAGCTGAACTATTACAGGTGACACAAGAGCGCTTTATTTGTAACATGAGGTGGGATCCAGTTCACTTTTACCTATTATGGCTAGCATACTACAGTTCTTATGTCCAGAAAAATCAGAGACCGTTAATTATAAATTCATGCAAACCGACAGAATAAGTTACTAGAAATACAAAGATCGATCTATGTGAAAGTTGGGGCTAAAGGTGCTCTTAGAAGCCTAGTGGAAAATACTAAACTGTCTCCAACATGTCCATAGAATTAGGAAACTGTAGCAGAAGGTAATGTGGGAATTCATGCACACGGAGAGACGGACATACAGACAGACCTTCTTTTGGATATCAAGAGACTTGGAGTGTCGGTTGATGGTGGCAAAGCATCCGGTGCAACGGTATGTGAAGCGGGTATCGATGGCGTAGGTGTGACGCACAGTGACAGGCGGTAGATGAGGGAAGGTAGAGTTGGCTCTGCGCACGAAAGCCCGCCAGAGGCGTCCATGGCCATCGTTGACGCCATGCACCAGCCACACCGCGGCGTGGCAAGCCTCGTGCAGCAAGGTATCGCGCACTCGTTCAGCCGACGTGCACACCTTGCCCGAGAGCTCGATCCGCACCTCACGTCTCTACAACAGCACACCACTACCACACTAGTATGGGAAAAACCAGGCTCATCAGCCCAATAACTCGTTTTAATTAGCATTGACAAGAAAGGAAACTCCTGAGCCAATCAACAGAATTTCATGAACAAAAATCACGATGCTATTTCTCGTGAATGCTGCATTACGCAAAAGTTAGAAAAGTTAGTACTGGAAT